TTTCGATTATTTTGTCAGCATCTAAGAATTGCTTTTTAATATCACTATCATATTCATCTCCCATGGTTTTATACCATCTGTGAAGTTCATCACGAACTTCATAAGTATAAGGCCGTTTTTTTGGATCCAAATCCATAAATTGTTTAGCGAATTTAATATAGCAGTTAGGAGTTCCAAAAGCAAATTCCGGCTGCAGTCCTTTTCAAATCTTTATTGTAAGACTAATATCAAATTTACAACTATCAAAAGGTCTTTGCCTGGTTGATATCTCTGATATGATAACTCCAAAGCCATAAATATCAGCTTTCTTTGTAAATTCTTTACTAGATAAAATTTCTGGTACAACATAGAATAGGACTCCATAAATATCGCCTGATGTATTTTCATTATACTTTTGAGACAATTCTAGATCTGAGATGTAAGATTGCATTTCTTTGCTAATATGTCGATCTTGTAAAATATTTATTTTGGAAAATGAATAAATTTTTAGGTAGCCCAGAATTTATGAAAACAGCTATAAAGCGAAAGCTTGTATGTGATAATCGTGAACGATTATTATATATAAGCTTTATTTTAATTGCAAAGAATATTTTAAATATACTAATAGCTTCCAATTAATTTTTTATTGATTATAAAGTATTATAATTAGATTAATTTACCTGCAGTGCTTTTTGTGTTCTTAGAAGACTTAAACAAACTGCATAAATACTGTTCTATCGTGTTTCTCCAGATGCATTAATTGTAAAATACTTTTTATATTCAGCATATTGTTCATCTTTCAATTTTGCTATAAAAAATTTATGAACAGGATTTCTAAAATATATAGTAAGGCAAACAGCCTGATCAACTACTTTTTTAAAGTCAGTCGATTCCTTGAAGATTTCCTCAACACATAAATTTATTTAGTGAGCATAACAAGGCAGAAATACGATTAATCTTTCTGTAACTCTTAAACAACGTCTATAAAAAGCTAATATTTTTATTTTTTATTCATTTTAAAATAAGGCAATAAAAAAAAACAAAAAAAAAAACCTAGTAGCTGTATATGCTTCCGCACTATCTGTTATAATAGATAAAGTTTTAATTGATTGCATATTTAATTCAGTAAGCATCATATTGATTTTTTCAATAACTTCCATATGAGTTTTACGTTCTAAACTTATATTTAGTACTTTCCAAATGAATGGTCTCCCTTCAGATGTAATTATTACTGCTCCTAACAAATGTTCATTCTGAATATTAGTCCATCCATCAAATATAAGAGTAACACCAATTTGGTCTTCTTTTAATATAGCTAATGTCACTTGATCAGATTCACTAGTTGCATCATTTAAAATTCGCCTCCCCAAGTAGACGTCAATTAGGAAGTTTAAGAAATGGATTAAAAAATTTATACAATTCAGCAGCCTCCAGTTTATTTACTCAGTGTAATGCCCATTTGCAAGAAACTGTAAGTCGTAGAAGAAGTTGATGAAACTTTTTTATATCCTAAGATGACAACATCCTAATGGTATAATTATCTATTGGTTCAAAATATGATGACTGAATTATTTTTGAAGCTGAAGAATATGAAGCTGAAGATACAGTTTCAGTGTTTTCTATAAAATATAACTTGTAAGTTGTTAATAAATATTCATAAATAAGTAAATAGATAATATTTATCTTTAGTTGAAACTTCACATAGTCTAAAAACTTCTTCTCTTTCTTCAGGAGTTGTTTCAGCAACAAAATTTGAACATTTTTTTAAGTAAGAAATTATTCGATCTTTTTTATTAGGAAAGTAGGATTTCGCTGCCTCAGTTTTACCTAATTATTTAATACAAGGTTTGCAGTATACTTTCACATTATTTTTGTTCAATTTTTTAGTAGTTTTAGAAATAAATTTATCTAGAATAGGTAGTAAAGGTGGCATAGCAATATTGTACTTGGCTTGAGTTGAATATATCAGATTAATAACAAAAAAAAATGTGTAGAATTTTTAATGAAATATGAAATAATAAAAAAGTTAGGTAAAAGTTTTTAAAGATATATCAGATTACTTAAATACGCTCACAAAAAAAAAAAAGTTAGCGCAAACTAAAAAAAAATATATCGACTACATAAAAATACTGTATTATTAAAAAAAAAAAAAAAAAAACCTTCCAATACTCCACCAAATAATAGATCCTTTTTAGACTTGGCATACATTAAAACCTTTGTTAATAAACAGTATAAAGGTATTTGAATCTTTGACATGCATAAACAAAAAACATTTTTAATCTCTATTGAGAAAAAAAAATACTGTTACACTTAAGTATATTTTGGAAGCATACTTTATCATTATATCAGAAGTTAGTTATTCTCTGCAAAAAGCTATGAATCTTTTAAAATTTCCGTTATGACCCCCACTGGAAGCATCTTCGAATTCAATTACTGCATTTTTCTCGAATCTCTCTTTCTACAAGATAGATCAAGTTTTTCACCAACTTTTATTAAAGATAGTTAAGTTCGTATGTATCAGCATTTACAGAATTGCTTTTAAATAGAAAACACAAACCAGTTGAACTTTATTCTTTTTCCTTGGCATACTCATATATAGTATATATGTGAAACAAGGTTGTTAATATTTTATCGCAGCACTTATATATAGCATGTATATGAAACAATTTTACCTTGGCATTACTTTGCAGATATTTGTACATATGTATCAGTGAAACAAGATTTATTATATCTAGTATCAGTATAAAATTTTTAGCTAATCATAATTATTTTTGATCATGTGATCATGGATATGAACATTGTCTATGTCTATGTCCACGTCCATGTCCATAATTTTGTTTGAACATTTGTCTATGTACATTCTAGCTGCAAATAATTATGTGGACATAGACATAAATATGAACAATGTTCATGTCCAATGATTTTGTTTAGATATCAAAAATGTACAACACTGATCATACCAGCTAACGCTTGATCTAGAAAAGAAACTATGCTTTGAAAATATAAATCGAGAGAGATGCAAGTAAGTCTATTCCACAAGGAGAATTAGCAACACCAACCTGGCTTGGTAGCTAACTAGATTAGGAGGATTTATCTTGTGAAATATTAGAAGAAATCAGCAAACAGAAACCAATAGAAAGCTACTATAGGAACTAGAGTTATACGAATATCTACAAAGGTCTAAGCTAGGTAAATTTATAAAATAGACACAGACTGCTCTAGTAGGTTTGCTTTAAGGTTAACCAGAGCTCTGCAGGCTCACAATATATTGAGCAATAAGTATTCTGAAAGGATCTAAGCTAGAGTCGAAAAATAGATCTATAATAAGCTAGCAAGCTTAAGTAGTTAGGTATTATAGTGATGTTAGTTTGTAACAGTATGAGTTAGTTGAACAGAGTGTTTAAATAGGTAACTTACAAGTAGATTACAGATATGGTAGCATAGTATAAAACTAATCAGGTGGTCTATCACTTGTGTAATGGACTACTTAAATTAGATAATGACTAAAGTTGTACAAGTAGCTTATTGTACACTCTTTATGTAATTACAAACTGTAGAGATTACCCATATATAATCTCATATATCAAACTAATAAAAATCGCTTAGCAATATAAGCCATCTTAAAAATAAAAAAAAAAAACTTTAGTTATTATCTATTTTTTTTTTTTTTGTTGTTAAGGCAGTTTACATTGCTGAAGAAATTTTTATTAGAGTTGTCAACAGGATTATATATTAATAATCTCTACTGTTTGTAATTATATAAAAAGTATACAACAAGCTATATATATAACTTTAGTCATTGTATATTTTAAGTAGTCTGCTGCACAGGTGTTAGACTACTTGATTAGTTTTACACTATACTGCTATACCTGTAACTCATCTGTAAGTTATCAATTTAAATACTTTGTTCATTAACTTATACAAATCCAACCTAATGTCATTGCAATATCTAATTATTTAAGCTAGCTAGCTTGTTACTGATCTATTTATTTAGAATGGCTTAGATTCTCTCAGGATATATTATATTAGATATATTGCTAGTATTGCAAAACTAGTTAATCTTGAAGCAAATCTACTAAAGTGGTCTATATCTATTTTACGAATTCACTTAGTTTAGACCCTTGTAGATATTTGTACAATCTTAGATTTTATTGTAGTCCTTTACTAATCATTTGACCTAGTCTTTTTCTAGTATCTAGCTAGTCCTAGTTACTTTTTACCTAGAGACTTTAAAACTTTCTATCTTTATTAGACCAAGTTTTTTTC